TCATATCGTATTGGCTCTAATAGAAGCCCCACCGCACTTTGAGCTCAATTATCTCAGTTTCTATAAGAGATATCGGAACTTTGATGAAATGTTGGTGATATTATGAAAAATATTTTATCGGTTGACAGATTTCTGTTATCTCTTACAGCAATTCAGATAATTAAGCTTTATTAGAGTGTTTACGATTTTTCAAATGTCCGACCTCCAAAACTAACAAATTCCAAAAAGTTACGAAGAAAAACATGGACAACAAAAGTCTTGTTTATGGAAGAAAGGACACTCCAGATAACGTTCTATTCAAAAGTATTTAGTATCACATGCTCAGAAGAAGCAATCAAGGCCTATTCTTGAAGGAGTTCCACACCGAAAAGATTTATTAATAAATAATGAAATGCTCCAAATTTGGGATCTTCGGATAACCAGAATGAATATTATTCTGTTTTTCGACCGCCTATATCACTTTTTTTTTGTATGTACCGAGCACAAATATATTCAATTGAACAAAGATCTCTTATTGAATTGAAAGGGATTTTTATTTCAGGTTCCCAACCAAAGCACAGTTCTCAAGAAAACGTTTTCATCTCATTCTGGACTTTCAACTTATGAATCTTCAGAACAAAAGAATATGAGAAGTGCGTGAGAAGAGAAATTCTTCTCACCTCTCTAGAAAGATACCAAAAATTTATATAACAAGGCATGTTTGGGGGAACCAGACAGGTCCATTGAATATTTCATGAAACAGCACATAAACATCAGATCCCAAAAATCTGAAAACTAATTTGTCTGCATTTTGTTGAATAAAGCTTATACTGTTAAATATAACAACTATTATGCTGGTGTGCAAAAATGGGTGCTGTGGAAAAGAAACGCCAGTGGACGTGGCCCAAGGTCCCACAACGACAATTACCGTAACCTAGTGATAAACGTGACGGAAACTGCACGAAAATCGAGAAAATTAATCCGGCAAAATTATTTTTCTTTAATTTTTTGCAAAATATTTAGACTTTTTTAGGTTTTTCAATTATTTTTGAAGATTCTTTTTCGATTTCTCCGAATTGTTTGTCTAAAATTTGATGGAACGTTGTTTTGATTG